ATAAATGTTATTCTGTCTGTCTTGTGGGAGGCGTTTCTCTAACCTTTCCACAGCAAGAGGTTAAAGATTAATAGAAGTAAAAAATAAATAAATAAAYACTAAAGTATAAAGAGAACTGTCGGCTCACGAAAGATCCTTGGTTTGAATTTGTCATTTGTGTGGAGTTTGGATGTGTCTGGGGTCTGCATGTATCCGATTTGCTCATTGGCTGTTGGGTTTTTGCAACCTTGAACAAGATGAAGCAGGTACAAGAAAAGGAACAGATGTCTGGAAGATGTATGGCTGCAGGTAAAGTAGTCATCAACGTGAGTGYGTTCCAGCTGCCTACATGTGTGGATCTGTATGTTTGTTGGAGAAAATTTGTTAAGTTGCGTGACTCCAGGTATCCATTCACACAACTTATTATTAAAGTTGTCAAAAGAGCTGCTGATGCCAACCATCACTGACTACGTGTCAAAAACATGCCCTTATAAAACCTTCCTGTGCCCTCGGTGAGTAACTTATCACAGTTTGATAGGAAAGGCATTGTTAAAGTGGCAGTGACAGATCTGTCAGCATGGAACTGATAAATTATCTCCTCTAAGCACACGGGGCTGTCTGTGATCTAATGAATTCCCTGAAATGTTTTTCTTTTRACCTGTTTGTTGCTCTAAGGTTCTTTGTTTGCCTGTTTGTCTATCTCATTTGAAATGTGCTTCTTAGTGTGTGGAAATAGTCTGGATCAAAAGAATATTTGTGTGAGCYTCTGGCCTATAGCTCTTCTCTGTTGTCAGTGCAAGAATTTACCATGTCTGCAGTAATCTGAAAGCTCATTGAGTTATTGAACAGCCGGAGAGTTCAGAAGGGCAAAAAAAAGTGTAGAAGTAAGAAGGACACAAGGTAAAAAGAGAAGACAGGCAAATATTAACCAAACAGATTAAAACAAATTATGGTATGCTTAGTGCTATTATGAAGAAGAAAAAAAGGAATAGATTGATATATAAACATGCTTCATCTTTTGTGTTTTTCATGTGAATAGGAAAAGTGGGCCAAATGCATATTTTTACGACCAGGTTTATCATTTAAAAAAAATATATATTGGCCTAATTAAATGATAAATTACTGCAGGAAATCCAGGGAGAAGCAAACAAAACAAAATTCAAGGACAAATATCCCCATCAGGAGGGCTGAGGCAAAAAGTCAAGGAACAAAATAATACAGAATTTTACCAGTGAGGTAAAAATGAACAGCTGAGCTTATCAGAAATGGAAACTTGAAAAATGACCAGATAACTGGCTCAACAAGATGTAACAGGAAGTAAAGCCAGTCAAGTTAAACACAAACATTAAACAAGTAAAAAACCAACACATCAAAACAAATACAAAAAAAAAAAATCAGTTAAAACAAATATAAAAATGAAGCTTTTTTTGCAAGCAAGGTAAACAACCTCTGCACACTTCCTTAAAGGGGAGAAACTGATCTCTTCAGCTCTAAATCTGCTTCTGACTGTTGGCTCAGGAGAAAGCAGAAATCAAAAGGGAGTTCCTCCAAACCTGGGCTATTTTACACAACTGAAAAAGGAAATGTGTTTAAATTGTTCAAGCTATAAATAGATACCAAAATGGGTGTTTGAAAAGATTTGCATCTCCATTTTGATAGTGGTTTGGTTTATCTTCCTCAGCACAACACCCCCATGCTTCCTTCCATGCTCCATACACACAAATGCTGTAAAACATGTTTACAAATTAAACCAGCCTGTATTTTTTTCTTTATTAAACTGCCCTTGTATCATGAGTGTCAACAGAATCAGTAAGCTCTATCTGTGCCTGGAAGGAAGGTGTCATAACAAACAGTCTTACAAAACGTGTAAGAATGGCTAAAGTGCGTTTGGCAGATGTGGCTCAGGGCCATTATTGTGCTGGGAAAGTATTTCCCAACATGCCTCCCCATCTTATTTCCTGTAAAAATTTTCTGGTAAACAAATGTTTTTTTTAGTCTGTGGATCGTTCTTCTAGAGCTTTGAATGATGTCAAAAACTGGGATGAAAGCTCTGTAGCTTTTTCTGATGTCTGTTTGTTTGTTTGTTTGTTTGTTTGTTTGTTTGTTTTTATGAAAATTTGAGAAAAATACCCAGAAACAATTAAACTGTATTAATAATTACCGGTAAGTGCTGAAACTTAAAATCTGAACTAGGGGAAAAAAGGCTTAGAAGGTAAAATGTCTTTTCCATCTTTGTGAAGGAAGTTGTTGATGCATGGTTTCAGGAGAACCAATGTGGCAACTTTAAGAAAAACAACATAATGAATTTTCCACAGCGGTAAAAGATCATTTACCAAATCAATTATTCAGATCCTGACTGCTCAAAGAGACCAGGTTATGGCTTGACCCAGCACTGCAGCCCAGGCTGCTGCTACTGAATCAGCATCTTGTGGTACAGCACTTGTCTGAATGAGTTACATAAATTATGTAAACGGAAACTATAAAACTTGTTTGTGTACTCAAACATGGCTTCCTTTAGGTATTTTGGGCCGGAGGACACAGAGGAGCTGGGCAGGCCGTAAGCTGCTCTTACTGTATGTGTCATGAACAGTTGTTGCATGATTATCACAGCTGGGCAGCTGCACAAAACAGACAAATATACTCTGCTGAAGCAAATATAACCTCATCCACTGTTAACAACACAACAAAAGGCAGTTTGTCTGRTTTGATTGATTTGCAATATTTCAACGTTAAATAAATTCAATACAGAGACAAATGAGTCACAATGCAATTAAACCAAACTGTCCATGTTTTTAATTTCCTGCTTCACTTCTCAGGGAAGCTGAATGGCTCTGCCTTTATCACTGTTCTGGAGGGGATATGTGATTTTTCCACATGAAGCAAGCTGCTGAGTAGCTCTAATCATAGGATCAAATTAGTCTCACAGCAGGTTTTCATTGATGGGCCATATGGATTCCCATTTGCTTCTTGCTGAAGGTATTCGGCTGGTACACAGAGCTGCTCCAGACAGTTGAGAAAAAGTCAACACTAGTATTTAAAACACAACTCAACTCGATTTTTTTTAACTCACTGGCCATTATCTGTGAGTTAGTGTGCAGATTGATCATATTTACCACATTATTTAAACTTAAGGGTGCCACTCCTGTCAGCTAAGAACAGGAAAGGCTACAATTCACACAGGCTCACTAACATTGGACAATAGAAGATTGGACAAATGTTGCCTGGTCTGATGAGTCTCGATTTCTGCTGCGACATTCAGAT